AACTTAAAACAATCCAGCTTTGTTAATGTATGACAGAGGGGAAGATGAGTCGATTCCTTTTATTGTGTTTTATAATCTTCAAAACTGCTCAACAGCTGACTGCCCATAAGCAGTCTTGCTATGCTCTCTGTACAACAATTTAGGACATCCACTCAATTTATCCTCCTCACCTACTGTTTCTCCTGTCATAACTTACTGTACTTTTTGGACGTACAATTTAAAAAAAATAAAAGAAAGAAAAAAAACTACACCTTTAGGGCTACATCTGCTCGCCGCTAGCACAATCCCAAAAAGTTTTTGCCATTGTTTCAGTTTAGGTCAGTCACTTGCTTTCTGCCACCTGAAGTACCCCCGCGTCTATTGGTTCTAAACTTGTTAAGAAAAAGGTCTACAGCAGTCCGTCTTCAAGACAAATCAATAGGGAACATGTTATGTTGTGCACAGTGAAACCCGTGGTGCCCCGGTGCAGCGTGCCTGAGGCGGTCACGGTGGGCACGTCGACCGAGCTCCGGTGTCTCGAGAATGAGGGCTTCCCGGCACCCGTCTACAGCTGGTTCCAAAACAACGAGGAGCTTCCCCAAGACCCCAAGAACACCCCCAAGTTTATCAATGCCACGTACACCATTAACGCCGACACCGGAAGCCTGGTATGACATCAGTAGGTGAATGAAGAGACAGTGTCGAGCAATTTGAGTATGTAGCTTGAAAGTAGAAAAGTGCTACACAAAAGGAAAGCCCATTTGTGATTTACAAGTTATAGGCCACATTAAAGTGGATGTTTTCTTATTAATTGTATAATTTGGTTGGAACGAAAGTCGAGTTGAATTGAGTTTGAAATGCAACGCCATAATTTTTTTTTTTTTTTAATCAACAAAAAAATTTTAAATCAATCATAATCTCAGTCTGTTGTTTATTTACCTTTTTAAGGCATAAATAAACTGGTGTTGGGATTGATGAAAAAACATTTAATTATCACTGATATTTGTTATGACTGAGCAAGATTGTATAACTTCACTGATAACTTGCTTGAGCCAAGTAAGGACTTGACTCGACTTTTCGAAATTTGGGGCCCACTCGGCTTGCTTGATTTTCTTTTCCCCACGGTAAAGCGGGACATGCTTGAGTCTTGAAGGTTACAACTTGAGAATACCTTGTGACTTGCACATACTGTATGTGACTTACTCCCACCTTAGCCTAACAGGAAGAGAATTTACCTTTCCCTAAATCTCTCATGTCCAAATACTTTTGTCCATTCAGCATATTCGGACGAAACCCCCCCCCAAAAAAAACACTTCTAAGACCTTGTCTGTATTTGTTTGTCGTCAGATGTAAAGGCCAAATGCAAGAGATATTTTACATTTTGCCGACTGTGCACTGTCACAAGACTGACTTGACAATTCCCCTCAGAAATTCCGCAGGGTGAGGAAGGAGGACGCGGGGGAGTACTACTGCCAGGCTAAGAATGACGCCGGCCACGCCCAGTGTCCCTCTCAGTGGATGGAAGTCTGTGAGTGACATATGATTGCGTGTGCACTTTTGACAACAGTGAGGAAAATGTTTGCCTTTGAGTACGTGAACGGTATAGAATGTGACATTGTGATGAAGATTTCATTGCTAAATTGGAAAACACAGTTCACCAGTAAGTAGAGCAGTGACAGTTGTAACTGAGATCACATCCACATGTACCAGAATGTATGCAATAATTCTAAGGGATATTTGTGGTTTTCTGCTGTATTTCTCGTGGCAATTTGTCTCACACATGATGACAAAAGGATTTGCCAACTATCCTCACCGGACACTGAAGTAGGTTCACATGCGCCTTTTGTTGCAAGGTCTCTTTTGATTTTTATCAAGTCTTCCATGGGCCATTCAAAACATATCACCTGACGAACAAATGGTTATTAATTATTACACAGTGCTGAACATATTTATTAATCCCAGAACAGACGTGAAGTTTATGCCACAGTATTCATATTTGCATTATTGTAATGCTAAAATACGTTAAACTTTTAGCATATACCGTAACATAAGACTTTTGTTTTTTTCATGACCTGAACTGACCTGGTTTATGATAACCTCCATCAGGATCCTCAAGGATTTTTTTTTAAAGATTATTTCAATTAGGAGATCGCAACTGATGAGACAGCATGATTATTGCACAGGTGTGCCTTAGGTTGTCCACAACAATATGTCAACTCTGTCACAAGAGCTCCACAAAACTGCAACCATAATAATAAACATCCAAAATGGATGTGACAGTGTCACTCATCAATGAGTGCATTAAACATTATTTTGTGAGACTGTGCTGCTGTACCTAATTAATTATTTGTATATTTGGGACATGTGATAAGGCAAGAATGTATTTACCTTTTTCTATAGATGATGTGGACATCCTCGACATCGTCCTCAAGTCTGTCGGCGGCGTGATAGCGGTCATCTGTGTGATCGGCTGCATTTGGCATTGCGTTTCACGCGCCTTCTCCTCCAAAAAAGGCCAAAATGAAAACGAGTGAGTATCAAATAGCAATCCATTTACTCCCGCATTGACAAAATATGCATTCATTATGTCGTCTTCTACTACAGATTCAGTTGGCCGACGCAGAACAATGCTGTCGACTATGGCGATGCAGATGAGGTACAAAATTTAGCATATACTAGAGTTCGAGGCGGGATGATATGTAAAATGTACTTTTTAATTACTTGCAGACAAGTATATAGAGCACTGTGCTTGACCACTTACCAATAAATCTGCTTTTTCTCCAAAACTAGTCTGTGAGTGAGCTGTTCAGAATTCTGAAGGATTGTAACGTGAACCACTAGCACAGGTTAGCGTTAGCTTCTGATACACATACTCAGATGTTCCTCTGAGTTATCCACAAGGGAAAAGGGGTGATGAGGGAGGACTGGTACTTGGCGTTGTGTCTCTGCTGCATGCGCCAAATACTCAATTCAGACCTCGGTGATGAAGTGCTGCCTTTATGAGTGAAAATAATTTATGGGCACTAGCTGTTTGCTTTGTCACAACCTCCTATTTCTGCTCACTGTCCTCACGTTACCAAAGTTGAACCCTGCGCTGGCTCGCATAAGAGGAAGGTAGGGCGACCTGTGGGTCATTTTATATAAGAGAGGACCACTCCCTCATAACAGGGTGATTTCGGACAGGGTTTTAAATAGATTGTGAACATTCTTGATCCTTTTCAGTATTTTGACAAATTAAATTAGCTGGGAACTGTTTGAAATTGTGGGCAAGAAATCCATAATATATCTCATGTAAGGCTATAGGTTGTTCTTTCCCCCCCTACAGGGACACTTCCGCCATAAGTCATCTTTCATCATTTGAACCCAGGGAGGATTAACAACGATGGCTCTGGTGGTTACGTTCGAAGTGTAACATGGCACACTCTATTCTCTGATGCACATCAAAATCAAACCAACTTGCCAAAGTAATGTTCAGTATGGTTTTATGGCACTAGCTCATGTTTTTATAGCGTTGACAAATTTTATAACACTAATCCTTTCATTGTCCCCCTCTCACTTGTAGAGTTTATTTTTTTATTTGCCGCATATTTCTACTAGACAGTAAAGTCATTCATTCACTTCCAAGCTGTGACATTTAGCTAAATGATGGCAAGGGATGTGTTGGAGCAACATTCCATCACAAGTTTTGGAACAAATTGTCTTTTGTAACTTTTTTTTTTTAATACATTGAACTTGTTTTGCACAAGACCTGTGTCATGTGAGCAACATTGTGTTATTTCTATTCTTCTTCTTCCAAGTGGCCAAGAGTTGAAAGGTATTTGTGCATACCGTAGTTGTACAGGCAATAAATAAGCAGACTGAAAACTGAGGATATCAGATAGCATGAGGCACAATTTATCTGCCTTGAGCATAGAGTAGTTACAATTGATAACATTACATGTCCAAGTTACCCAATGGATTTGAATACTATCTATCCCACTTTGCTGCAAATTCAGTATTTACTATTAAAAGGTGGCAATGTATGACATTTAGAGTGCTGTTAGTGTATAAGTGACCTTCTGTGTGTTACTACTTTTTTGGGTTGTAGATATTGGACATATTGTCCAGTTTTGCATCAGTATTGTATGCATAAATGCGCAAATGTTTTTTTTCTTCCCCCAGTACCTTATTGTACATAAGGCAATATGCTGTTCAAAATGGTAATTTTACAGTACAATAGTTACTGTCCAGTGCTGTTTCAAACTTTTTTTGTGTTCATGATTTGTGTAAAAACTCAGGAACTGTTGTAAAATGCCCACTGTTCATGGTTGATTTTTGTTATGAATAAAATACATTTGAAATGTTCACCCCTGAAGGCTTGTGTGTGTCCTTTCAGCTGCAAGTTTCATGTGATTGAGAAAAATGAGAATATAAATAACGTGACCAGGGAACTTGTCTTTTGTGTTTTATAGTTTAGTACTTTATTTTATGCCTAACGTTTTCATTTCTAATTTAATAATCCTGGATATAATCCCGAGAGGGCAAATTCAAATTTTAAATCAGTTATCCAGCACAACTACGACCCACATGAAAATAAATGTTTTGGAAAATGAGTGGATATTCTTATTTCCTTCAGACAAAATAATAATTTAGTCGGCTGGTGGAACCTGTTTTTATATACAAACGGTAAACCGTGGACCTCCTGTAAACGGGTTGAACCTTTACATCAGGGGTGTCAAACTCCGGTCCTGGAGGGCCGGTGTCCTGCATGTTTTCCAAGTCTCCCTGTTGCAACACACCTGATTCAAATGAACATGTTCAATGTCAGGCTTGCGCAGAGCTTGCTGATGATCTGATCATTTGAATCAGGTGTGTTGCAACAGGGAGACTTGGAAAACATGCAGGACAGCGGCCCTCCAGGACCGGAATTTGACACCCCTGCTTTACATGTTTTGAACAAAAAAAAAAAATGTCCCTCTTATTGTGTAGCCAAATTTCCGGTCAGCGAACAACATTGCATTTGATGCTCTTATTGTGTAGCCGCGCTTACCCGGAAATAGTTGTGTCGACCCAGATGTCTTACATCCTGACTATTTGATAACAAACGCGACATTATCTTCTTCGAACAAAACAACCATGTAAAATAGTACAATACTCACGTCGCAAGCGTGCTTTGCGTGACTACGCAGAAACTAAGCGTCTATTTGGGGAGAAATTGAGGAAAGAAAACAATAAGTACGTCTTTTTCCTTCTTGCTTTTTTTTTAATCGATGGACATTTTGTTTTCTTTTGCGCCGCACGCACCGTTATCGTTTTCCACTCCATCGCTACAGCAATTGGGCATGGACACTTAACGTGTTTGCATTACAAATACGTCTATCTAAAGAGCGTGCCTCGGGCGGGGGGAATTGTAACCTTCGGGCCTTGTGCTGTACCAGTATACGTTGTTAAAAAAAAAAGCTCACAACAATGAGCTTCTTCAGTTTCGGACAAAGTGCGGAGATCGACGTGGTGCTCAACGACGCCGAGACGAGGAAGAAAGCAGAGCACAAGACGGAGGATGGCAAGAAGGACAAGTATTTCCTCTTCTACGACGGAGAGACCGTCAGCGGCAGAGTCAACGTCACACTCAAGAGCCCCGGAAAGAGGCTGGAGCACCAGGGCATCAAGATTGAATTTGTCGGACAGATTGGTAAAGAAATAATCCATTCTGCCATTCAATCTCATGTATCGGTTGTGTAGCCACCCTGGAGCTGCTGTATCCTACATCACTCCATCAGTCTATCTATCCAGCACATATAGAAAGAGAAAAGTTAAGAAAATCGTGTGTGGCACATCCGGTAAGATGCCCAACTTCTACCCTATCCTACTACTTGGTTAGGTGAACAGTGATCCCTTGCTATTTTTTTTAGCAAACCTTGCCGTAAACAGCAAAAACCTGTGAATAATTGATGTTCCCAAAAGGGGGTTGTAACTGCATAGATGCCACAAGATGGCGGCATAGCGGTTAAAGCAGAGGATCATAAAGCATCAACATCATGTTTCTAGCATGTACACCATCATGAACTCATGTTCCATACAGTTTTCAAGTTACTCAAAACAAATCACATTAACAGGTCCATCAATAGTCTTCGCTTGCGTACTAGATAAATAACACGTTTGCACAAACTGACATGAGATCACACATGTGCATGAGCACTTTTCAAAAATGAATTGAGAAACTGAACTCAGCTTTTCACCTTTGTGCACAGTAATTAATGGAAGTACAGGCAAATCAATGAAATCTAACGACAATACCAAGATTCCACCAGATAGCGGCAAAGAAAACTTTTTATTGCTTTGGCCTGAACATACAAACTGCTCATCGATGAGATTTTCAGCAAATAACCAGGAATGTGAGAAGAAAAGAAACTCGATTGGCGTATTTGTGGATATGCGGGTGTTCACTGTACATCACAAATACGTGTCTCCTCCGAGTACGGCCCACCCTGCACGCTGTTCTACCCACGACTGTATATCTCTACCTACTATTTCACCCAGCCAAAAATGGCCACCACAAACCGAAATAGATTACTTTTTGTATCTTTTCGAGCATGTGCTCTTCAGCCTTTTTTGTGAGTCAGCTCATGATGTGCCGACCGATGAAACTGGCTTTGCGGGCTGAATTTTCTCATTTCTAGATTGAAAAAAATATAGCTGTTTGTTCAGCCCAAGAATGCGTTCATCGAAAACAAGCATTTCAAGAGGAATACAAAGGGATCACTTTGTGTTTTCAGAGCTGTATTACGACAGAGGGAACCACCACGAGTTTGTGTCCCTGGTAAAAGACTTGGCGAGGCCCGGTGAGATGACCCAGTCGCAGACGTTTGACTTTGAGTTCACTCATGTGGAAAAGCCGTACGAGTCCTACACGGGCCAGAATGTCAAACTCAGGTAAAGCGCCACACACCCTAGCGCCCCGACTGTATTTTGCACATATTTTGTCTATATTTAATGGTATTTTTGTCATATAGTACATCTAAGATAAGAAAACCTTTATTAGTCTCGCAATGGAGAAATTCCCAATTCACAGCAGCAAAGTTATGAAAGGAAGAAGTAGAACAACAAAATATAGGATCTGCTGGAAAGGCAGCCACTCTCGCGGCGCCATCTTGAAATCAAAATAACAAAATAACACAACACATAAGACACAGACAGTCGTGCAATCTTAATCACATTTCCTGCATACACTTTGTTGTTTGAAGCAGTTATAGATGAAAGAGGAGAGGATCAAAGTGTCTTTTCACGAGTGGATCAGACACGTCATGCTGAAAATGTGCACACGTCTGCTACAAGCTAAGTTTTGAAAGCAAACATGAAGCTGTAGTGTCCATTGACGAAAAGAGATTGGCTCACATCTCCTGTCCCACATAATCCGCTTCAACTCCAAGCTGCGACTCCCAGTTCCACATCCGCATCGGCGCTCTGCGCTGACGCTCCTTTCTTCTCATCGTCGGCTCCTCAAGCCTTGCATCCATCCAGCCGCACACTGTCATCAGCACTGATCTTTCCGCTGAACAAAGTGGGGCTGTGTAAAATGCTGCCCATGACAGGTGCAAAAAAAACGCACAAGAGC